GATCACTATGAGGTAGTAGACGACGGCGAAAAGACGGTAGGAAACGAGGTCATTTCTGAAAAAAAGCCTAGCACGGCGCGCGGGTTTGGTCGTGCTGACCCCATGACCCGAATGACGTGCGACCGGATGTCGTAATCGAACTCAGAACCTCTGCAACACCCTGCTTTTCTCGTCGATTTCAATCGATTGTCTTGTCCACAGATGGTTCCTGTCCTCTGAGCCGTCCAGCACCACTCCTTACGTTGACTGGAGTCGAATGCACGTTAGTTTTTTCAATCATGTACCGCACATGTGTTCCCGGCTGTCATAGCCGAAGGACAGATCATGCTTTGGTTGTCATGCCTGAAAATCACCGTCCACAAAGTCAATATTCATAGCACACATTAATTTCGAGGCATAAAGCTTTACCGGCGCGAAGTGGGGGAAAAAACTAACCGAAATGGCTCACAACAAAGAATTGTAATTCCTGTGTTGCGGTCATTCAGAAGCCAATTGACAGACGACCCACAGAATCATGTATTCAAAAATTCTTCAAATGCCAAACCTGGTCCCGCGTTAGTCACCGGTCTGAACATCAGCAGGAACCAAAACATTACAGAATCACGATTTGGCTAAATTAAATTAAATTTCAATCTCACTGTGACATATTCAGCGGCAGAATCGAAGGCTTCTGGCTTTCACCGAAACATCGCAGTTATGTTTTGTCACTCGTTCAACTACAATAATCGAGACAATGTTCCTCTGGGGAATATACTTTTGTTTGACCCAAGTCTGACAGCGGTCTGCGTCCTATCCACTGCAGTGCTTAAACGCTATGGCGCTTAAATCGTTTCCCATAAACGTCCAGAGCAAGGGGACGGTGTAGTACAACAGCTGGTGTAAAGTGAGAAATATATTTTTCTTTCTCTACACTGTGCATTTTCGCCGTTTCAATCCGTAATGTGATATATTCAGTAGCGGTCCATGTTTACTTACGGTCATGAGTAGTGGACCATGACTACAAAACTTCGAACCCGGATACAGCATGCTGAAATGGGCTTTCTTAGACGAGTCGCTGGCCTGACGCGTCTCGACATGGTCCGGAATAGTGACATC